GTTCTGCACTGTGCCATGGATGTGTCTCACCAAGGCCAAGCCGTTTTTGCATCTTAGTTTTGTGGTGTCTTGGAGATTGGCCTGCCGAGCCTCTGTGGCTGTTACCCCCTTGATGTCTTGTCAAACAAAATCCCTGGTTCAGTGCTTCTTAATTCTGTTCTGGTGTCATAGAAGAAGTTCCCTCGGTACCTGTACCGTGTGCCCTGGGGCTGGTTGGGGACTGTAGGACTAGCTGTTGTGCTCTCTACTGTTTGTAGGTAGCTGTGCGTTGTGCCGTTCTCATTATGCTATGCTGGTTTATAGGGCAGCAGGTCTTCTTGTCTCTGTCCGTCTTCCAGTTCCCTGTGGCTCTACCTTCAGCTCCTAGCAGCAGAGGGATAGCTCTTCAGCTGAGCAAAGTGCTACCAAATGCCTCATTTGCCATTCTGTCGTTTGAGAGTGACAAATACGGCTCAGGAACTGTATCTGCAGTCTTTTATGTATATTTTCAGTTATTCTGACACTCTTTGCCTCTGCTAAATTAAGAGTAATGGAAGCTTCTGGTGCCACATCTAAACACATACTTCTTTGCAGCCTGCGTGAACTCCTGTGCCGTCACTTGTTGGTGCCGTCAAGGCATTTCACTTTGGGATGCCCCAAGGAAGATGAGTTCTGTACAGATTATCTGCTGTTTAGGGGAATGCCAGATAATAAAACCACCTCAGAAAAGCACATGTCGGACTGCAGAACACATACAGACTTTTTATCGCTCAACATAAAAGACGTCTAGGCCTCTCCTCCTTTTTGAAGAGCCTTAAGTTACCACTCTCTGTGGGTGCAGTTCTTGTAGACTGTACAGAACGTGCCCTGTGTGCTATGTGTCAGCCCCGTGCCTTAGATACTCTGAGAGTGTATAAAGAGCCAGCTGAAAGGTAGATAAAATACATCAAGGTCACTAAAATGGCATTAAAAGGCAACTAAAACCTCCCTAAGGTGTCTATGCTCTCATTGCAGTCCGTGGAGACCTAGGGTTCAGTTCAGACGTGTCACAGGCCTTACCAGAGATCCAGATCTCTTTGGAGTATGATCTGGAGACCAGGATATGTCACAGCACCTGGAATTATTTAGCCACATAGGTTTAGCAATGGCTTTTGATATCTGAAGATGCTGCTTTGACATGCTAGCCATCCTGCAGTGACACAAGGCAAACAAACCCTTCACCCGGCACGTCTGCAGTAGCGTAAGGACAAATCATGCTCTAATCTGCATTTACTGTTCTGACTAGGCTCCGTTAAGAGTTTGGATCCCTGGTTTACACTTAAATTCAAGTGTCTGAATTCAAGCTATATCCCAGTTTTAGATTCCTGTGATGGTCAAGAAAACAGCAGGTCAGCACTGAGTTTCGGCCGTGACTTTATTCCAGTGCCTAGAACAATGTTGGTAGCACCGGAGTGGCTTGTACATCTTTATCCAATTTAAAATTAAAACCGTTCCATTTGCTTTCAGACTGTTCATCGTTTTGGCAGCTGCTAAAGCATCATCCTTTGAAAAAATGCTCTGATATCTTCCTTTGACCAGTTTCTCCGGGCTAGTGCTGTTGCTTCCATCCTTGTCTGTTCTGTGCACGCTCTGCTGCGCTACTCCAGAAAAGGGATCAAATACATCGGGCTCGTACAGCTGTTTACTGACTCGCTGCTATTCAATTACCTTTTTACAACAACGTGGAGGTAGGCAGCACCTTATGACGGGGGTTTGCAGAGTCTGTTTTAGAACTCCGTGTCTCAAGTCTCTTTTGCCTTTTGCCTCCTCTGTTTTGTCCTGTTCTGTCAAAATTGTGGTCTGCCTGCCATAGGCCTTGGCCTGCAAAGAGCAATTTCCCTGGCTTTGCCGCTTCCAGTCTTACTGTCAAATGTTAATAGCAGGTTTGTCCCAAATCCCAATCGCAAACTTGTCCTTTATCTATTACGTTCACCAGTATTGACTCCTCAGCCTTTAATTATTTACGCTTATCCTGTCCGTTTCCAAAGAGCTTTTTACCCCGCTGGGAGCTGTGACTGCTGTGCTTTCCCACCCGGTGTTTTCTTCGGTGGTGCTCTTTGCGCAATATGGACGTGCCTTGCCGCGGCACACGAGCGCGGCAGGGCCAGCCGAAAAAAAGCAGCCTTCTGCCCGTGACGGCCAACGGGAGCCCGCCGGCCATCAGCCCTCCTGCACGCGCGGACCTGCGTCCCCGCCGGGAAGCAGCATAACCAATTAAGGAAAACTGCCCTAATAGCTAGCTACAGCTAGAAAAAAGCGGGGATTTTTCCACCCTGGAATTAATTTTACTTTTTGGTACTGTTAAAATATATCTCCTGAATGTAACTTCATCAGGCAAGGGTGGCTTTAATGTCAACTGCTCTCATTTATATTTAAACTAAAACCTGAAAATTAAAAATGCAGGATTTTTTTTTTCATTTTTAGCAGCCAAAAATCCATATTTTTAAAAAGTCAATTTCTCTTTGTGTTTTGAAATTAAAATAGTACTGCAGGGAGCATAAGACACAGGATGCAATGCTAATAGTTAATAAGATAGTTAAAATAGTTAATAGCAGTGCATTTCATTAGTGTTTCTGGTAAGATAATAACAGTGCTAAAAATATTTTCCCTGTTCCATAAAAAGTAGTAACTGTATTTTAATCACTAAATGCACTTAAAATATGCACAGATTATGTTCTTAAGAGTTTCTTTTAACTCTAACTGAAGTTCTGTCAATTTGTGTATTTAATTTAGGCGTTAATTACTTACGGACTATGATGCACAATTTATACTAGGCTTCTTGGATGCTCTCACATTTCAAATGTTCGCATTTCAAATGTTCACATTTCGAATTACAGAAAGGACTGTTAGGATGATCTGGTGCTTTCAAGGCTTTTCTGTGTATCCAGCTCATCTGACCTTGTTATAAACCTTCAGGTACTTTTAACGTTCATAAAAACGTTATATGTGGAGAATTTCGATTTCCATTAAACAAATAGCTTATGTGTGGTTTGATATCTCTTCTACTTGTTAATACCTACATTCGGTGACCAGTGACGTCCCGGCCTTTTCGGAGAAGCCCTCGTGCGTCCCTCCGACTGCCGTGGCGGCTGTGGCAGGGCCACGATGCGCGACGGGGCCGTGGGCGTTACCCAACGGGCTCGTTTTTCAGGAGTCTTGTGCAAGTGTTCATTTACTTTCTATACACCTGTAATCGTGTATAATGCATATGAGAATGTATAATGTGTATGAGAAATGGGAATAAAAGTGGTGAGAACTGTGGGGGTTTTCTGTGTTTCACACTGATGAAGGAGATAAAGATATGGTTTGCTTTTGGGGGCCGGTCCTTACAACTGACATTTCTTGTCATGCCTTCTCTCTTAACAAGACGCCTTCTTAAGGAATGCAGACTTGATAATTTTTTGCCTTGACAGATGCTACAAGAACAGCATACCCAAGATGCAGGGGAAAAAGGAATTCCAAGTGATTTCCAGTTATAAAGAGGCTGGGGGAATATTATCTGGGAGGGGTGTGCTTGCCTGCTCTCACGGTCTTCCCTAGGTATCTGCTGTTGCCCTTGCTTGGAGACAGGGCGTTGGAACAGGGGGACTTCAGGCTGGCCCCGTGGAGCTGTTCGTGTGTTCTTACATCCTTATTTACAACATGGTGAATTTAGAATATTGATTATCTTATTAATTATGTGGAAAGTAGTTAAAAATAGCTTGGGAAGAAATGTGGGTGGCTTTTTTTTTTCAATTCCAGCACAAAATCTGAGCCAGCATTTATATGCCATTCAACAGATGAAAAAAAGGGATGGTATTTTTGTTAGTGACATATTAGCTGAAAGGTCGTGATGTGCATAATGAAAACAGCTGTTAGGGTATGCCATTTTACGTGTGTCATGAAACTACTCAATAACGTTAATATTTCTACTCTAGAACATATTAACTTGTATTTAAGTGATACAGTACTGTGCATGGATTTGTGCTAATGCGATCCTCTATCCTGATCAAATATTTAGATTTTGATAGAAAGTAGGATCAGCTTGCACTGATCCAGTTGCAGGGATATGGTCCATTAGCTCCTAGACATTACAACATTTGGTATATAAAAATCGTAAGATCTGAATAATGGATAACGCAATGTTCAGGGAAGTTGTTACATGCAACTAGGTCACTTATGCACACCCTTAAATAGGTGTAACATCATTTAAGCCATGTTTACAGGTGTCTTGAAAACAACAATATCACTTGAAGATGAACTATAATTGCTATCATTATTCAATGTGTTAGCTCTTGAGGAGAGTCATCTCTTCTTAAACACTATAAAAGTCTTTTAGCAAAGGATGTAAGTGTATTAAAAGCTATGATTTTTTCACAAAGGTTTTAATCCAGCACAAGTAGCTTTACCTTCTTAATTATCCTTAGAACACCTTGATGAACTTGAAAGTGAAGGTCAAATTATGGTGTGAGGTTTTAAATCCTATCTGTTGCATTGTTTAAGCAGAATGGAAATGCTTCTTTCAGATTTAAGTAAAATGTATCTATGAAAATACATTGTATAAATCAAGAAACAGCAAGGTCTCACTGAAATTCTGCAGCACTTGCATTTTTGTGTTAGAAAACCATGCGGTTGTGTAACTGACAGAGTGAAAAGTCAGTAAGAATGTTGCAATTCCATTTGTACAATGGAGGAGGTAAAAAGTGTAAAATAGCTTATATTTCCAGAAGCCTTATATAATTGTAAAGCCTTTGCCTAGCATCATTTTAGCACCTTCAAAAGAGACATGGGCTGTAAAATCAGGTTCATGTTTCCGTTTCTAATTGGAATTGACCCATCCTGGTTCAGTTCTATGTCAAGACTCCGATCTAGCAGAAGAAGTGATTATGAAAGAAAGGGGAAATCTTTCACAGCTCATCATAAATTTTGTCACTAAAGCAAGTTCTTTATAACTGCATTAGCCAAACGTGTATAGCTTACGGTCTGTGTTCTTGTTTCCACAGTGCGTACATTATAACAGACTTCATGGGCATCAGGAATGAAAATTTTATGAAGGTAGCTGCGGTTGGGACTTGGATGGGAGATTTTGTCACAGCGTGGATGGTAAGCGATGTAATATTACATTTTAAAAGAAAAGGAATATGTTTGTTAGTTTCAAGGGAGAGAGGAGAGGAGAAGAGAGAAAACTCAGTTTCTTGAAGTATTTAAGTGTTTCAGTCCAGACAAGCAAGAAGTTAACAAAGGCAAAGTAGCATAGTGCCAGGGTATTTAATTAGCTGGGAGTCCAGAAGAGTTTCAGTTACGGTGTGTCAGAGCAATATTTCATTCCTTCTGCGGGGAGTGGGAATTTTGCCATTGACTTCTGTGAGGACAGCGCGGTGGGCCCTCTTTGCTATGAAATAACATCGGGACTTGCTGTCTGGTGAAACAGGGAGTAACAGCTGGAGATAAACAAGTCTAATGGAAAGGATTAAAAAAGAAGAAAATTTAAACTGAAAGATGTGACAAAAAGTGATGGAAATGAGAGTGAGTGAGTTGCATCCCGGAATTTGAAAGTAGCCCGTTTGGTGTGAAACTATCAGATTAAGTTTGGCTCTGATTTAGGATGTAGAAGAGTAAAGTTTTCACTTTGATTGTAATTGTTATAAAGGTTCTCCCCTGAAATATGGGCAACCCAAAGATCAGCTTAGTGAAAGAGAACCAGAATGTGACAGCTAACTGGGAACGAAATGAAGCATGTGCGCATGTTTTTATTGTTGAGCAAAAGCACTTCTTAAACACAAAGTGATGAAAAGTGAATTCTCTTTTTGGATTTTTTTTTTGTTTGTGGTGTTTTCTTTTTTTAGCGAGATTACATTTCTATGATTAGTGTAGGTAAGAATTTTAACAATTATGACTGTGACATGCATTTAAATTGGGGAAAGAAGTCTGTGATTTTTAAGCTTGCAGAATTGGTTTTAATTAATTTTTCCCCCCCCCAATGATTCATTGATACCTCTGTTTACTCAAAAGAATCAACATAATTTTTAGAGGAATTCATTAACACAGGGAACATTTCTTGATGGTGGATGTTTATCACATACCTCATAAACATGGATGGAAAAGGTCTCAGCACTGTATTACTAGTGACTGCAGTAATCTCTGACATAAGCAAAGAAACAAGCCGAGGTGGATAAATTTTAGGACTGTGGTATGTGTTAAGAGAAGACACCATAGGAATAGTTTCAAGCAAAGATGCCAAGACTGTAGTCTATAAAACTGTAGGAATAATCTTAGAAGGATCATCTGAGTTTCTGTCAGTTTGTCTTCTATCCTCCACATATTTGGAACATGCTGTACAACAGACAGAAGGAAAAAAAAGCGTCAAGGATTTTTTTCAGCGTATTGTTCGGTATGTGTCAGTGGTTTGTCTGAGACAAATTACACTCTGTGAAACTGTGGCCATGAAAAGCAGCTACAGAGCAAGTCATCTGTAAGGACATTGCAGAATTGGTGCATTGACTGATGCTGACATTTAATGTGGATTTCTTGTGAATCAGTAATAAAATCCATGGCTACTTCTGAATGCCTTTAGCTGGACCCTTTATTTTCTTAGGGGCTTCCACGGCTTTATCTCACTGTGGAAGGAAAGCTGATGCATAAGGTAAGCTGCATTGGGAAGGGTCATGTTCATCGTACATACATGACTCGGAGCTCCAGTGATAGATTACGTACAAGTTGCACTACATTACTACAAGTTAGACAACACTGAATTTTTTCAGTCCCTCTTTTCTCATTTTCTTGAAAAAAACAGTTACATGCGGCACTATATAAAGCATGGAAATGGCTGGATTCAAGAGGCATGAGAATCCTGATGCTTTTCTGCATACTCAAAGCCCTCTCGGGTCTTTTCTGCAGCAGAGGCACAACTGGATTGTGCCCCAGCAGGTTCCAGGCTGTTGGTAAACTGGGCTGGTTCTGTTAGCTGAAGAGCAGAGGGCATGGGATTGGGGGGTCAGTGTGGTTTAGGACATGCTTTGGTTGCACGAGGAGATTTAAGAGGCATGGTGATAGATGTTTAGATCTTCAGAGCAAAAAGGAATAGTGAGGTTGCTTCTGCAATGCAAATCTCTAGGCACAGTGTATGAATCAGTCAATGGAAATGTCAGTGTTCAAGGGCAGCTAAGGCTAGGAACATCAAAAAAACCTACAATGTCAGGTAGAGAGGTATTAGTAACAGAGGAGTGGGGACATGTACATTGGTGCAAACCTCCCACACAGCCTAACTTTAGCGATCTTATTCTGTATGAACAGAAATTATCATGTTGCTTATAATATTTGAATTTTGCTGGACTTCCTGCATGTCAAGCCCAGCATGGAATTGGTATCAAAGTGACATGAGTCTTCTGTGGGATTATTGTATTTTATGAAGCTCTCCAATCCTGTTTGGAAACAGGAAAAATAAAAACAAACCTGTAAAGGAACCTTTGCACATCTTCTCATTCACAGCAGTGCTTATATTTTCTAATGTGTAAGAAGTTTCTGTAAAGAAGCCACTCATCCTTAGACTACAAAGAAGATGAAAAAGCAATGTAACCTTCACTTCAGTGTATTTGAACCATACTGGAATTAAGATCTTATTCCCTCATAAATTGGAAACTTTTGAAATAAGGAGGAATAAAGCAGAACAGATGGGACTCCATTTTAAAATGAGTAATCAATAAATAATAATATTGCCCTAGTACAGCGAGGAGAGGATCATTAAATCAGGAAAGTGATTGAAATGGGAAAATGTTTTGGATTGCAGTTTGTTTTGGATTTAAAAAGCAGAAGCGAGCCTTCCCCCTCAACACTTCCTAGCTCACCAACTAGTTTGGTGACAGGGTCTGACTCAATTCCTAATAAAATCAGCAATATTCTTTCCGTTGTGTGTAATGAGAATGGGGCCGTGCTGTGGGTGCACAGGAGCTTCTCCTTTGTGCCTCTGGACAGGAACTTCTGCTGCTGATAATCACCTTTGCTGAAATCTGTAGTAAGCGTTAGATGTTCTAAGTAAGTCTGTGAAGAGGGGAATGGGTTCAATACGCCGTCTCTCTGCACTTTTTCCTCTTTGAAGCCAGGGAAGTATATTCTGCACCTGCTTTGACATGCTGTCCTGCTCTCAAAATGTGCATTCTGCTCTCATGGAGAGTGCTTTTGAGGCAGACACCGCAGGATTTGGCACAGTAGGATAGCTTTGAAAAGAGGCTGGATTCCACCCAGACACGGCTATAAACTAGCAATTACGGCCGCCTTCTGGGAGGGTGTGAGCAGGCGGAGGAAGGAGCTGGTTCCAGGGCAGAATTTCCGATGATTAGAGTTGGGTGGCCTCCTGCCCCTCTCTGTAAAACCGAGCAGCCTGCTGTGGCTGTGTTTTGTGGGGGACGTGGTCCTGAGCACGTGGGGTGAGGTGTGCTCAGAGCAGGAGAGGATGGCACTGAGCATTGACCCAGAGGGCAGGGTACAACCGGAGCCTCCGCTCTCCTTTACAGCCTCCTGGTGAGGTGACACAGCCTGCTTTCCTCCTCCTTTCCCGGCACTGTTGGCTTTTAGGCTGTCAAAACTGCTGTTCTCCACTTTGGGTGACGGCTTCTTGGGCTCCGCGAAGATTCCATAGTGGCCCTGCACTATGAATGATGCTCGTACCACATTGAGAGATTTGCTGACAAACTGCCGTTGCCGTTTACGTTAAAGACATGTCCCTACCTGCAAGCCCTACATATGTGTGAAAGAATCTGCACAGCAGAAGTTTGTTACATCTTCCTTAGACCTTGCTTGCTAGGATTATCAGAAGCTGAAGCAATCAACATGAGCCAGAGGCTGACACTAATCTCTACGAATCTATCAGGGGCTGATCCTCTTGACAAGGGATCCTATTCTCATTTACCTTCCTTCTGAAAGGTAATTTAGTTGAGATTCTCTTTTCTCTGGTTAATTGCTAGAGGGAACCGAGAACGTTTGAGACATCACTGAGCAGCAGAACCTTTGCTGGCTCACATCATCAGAAACAGCAATAAATTCAAGGGATAGTTTAGTTTATGATTCATCAAACTAGTATTTATCAAATCTGTAGCAGCATGTTCTTTTTAACAAGGAGAAGCCAAGACTTCTCCCAAGCACTGTGCTTAGGGTCTTAGGGTGTAAGCTGAATCATTGTCACCGTTCCTGGCTGTTCTTTCCGACACCTTCGCTTGACTTCAGTTTGACTCTTCCCTCGTGTGGGACCATGAAGGCTCCCAGAACCATTTCTATCTTTCATCATCTTGGCAGAGGAATTATTAGGAAGGTAAGAGTAGTACTTCTGGCGTAGTCTGGATGGAAGAGTGATAGGTCACCACTTGTTCCACTGACTCGTTATCCAGGACTGACATAGACACATCCTATCCACTTGGATGGATGGATATGGAGGCAGAGACCTTCTACCTAAGACTTCTTGTCAGGACATAGTATTGGGATTTCAAAAGGTTATTACTGAGTGATGAATCCACACCTACCTTTCCTCATTAGTGAAACTGGATAATGACCCCCATATGGACAAGTTGCCTGGGCTTCTGTGAAGTTTCTCAGGCAAAAGAGTCACATCATTAGGTGATCATGCCTACACACCACGTCATATAACTTGTGGTGGAATGCTGCTCCCTTTGATAAAGCTTATCTGCTCTTCTGTGAGAAGGATTTTCTGTTCTCTGAGATTTTGTGCTAGCTGAAAAAGCTCCAGGAAGTGTACTTATCTGGCTACATGGACCAGGTTTTCAGTCTTGTAATTCCAGAGGACAAATCTCACACCATTATATGTTCTGGCTTTGCCAGTTGTGAAAGAAAAAGGTTGTGTTCTGTTCTTTTCATTCACATTTCTCTGTTAGGCGTTTTTTTATCTTCATTCTCTGGTGTAGGAGGCTTTCGTATTTTCCCATTTTATGAGCCTAACGTGTCTTACCTGGCTGGTCGCAGTGTAGCTGGTAAGAGGGACCTGTGGCTGGTTCATAGAGAACACTCTGGAGGGCTGAAGCCTGTCCACGTGGTCCTTAATGCTATTAACGTCGATAGCTGACAGGTTAAAGGGAATGGTTACTGCCGTGCAAGCA